TTAGTATCCAAAAATATTTACTGGGCTGAATTAATCATGATCCAAGTTGTCGAGAACTTACATTCCACCTCTTCATTGGGTTTCAAACCACTGCTTCCAGGCCTCCAGATGGCTTCTCTATTGGGTCAAGTGGTGGCACAAACTTGCCTGCCAACTTCCCTTTCAGTTTTTGGATGCCCTCTATGATGTTCCTCTCCCTTCCTTATCCTACATCTTTGTTGTTCTCTTTCTTCATTCCTAGAGAAAAAGCAAAGCTTGGTATTTTATCCAAACTCTTAGAGGTTGTGACAGAAGATACAATAGTCTCTTTTTAGCTAAAGCAGCACACCCCATCCCCAATCATTTTGGGGTGCTTAGAGACCCAGCTCAATTTTATGTTCTGAAATCTTCCAAAATTCCCAGTGCATTTAACCTCTGGTGTGGCAACAGTTGATTAGATTGCTTGGAGAAGAGGGAAGAAGACGGACAGAAAAAGTTTATTTGGTTTTAGCATTACCCATATAGTATTAGGTGGGAATTTCCAAGGAATTATGTGTCAGTGACGTTATAACTTTCACACGATGGCTGGAAGCAACATTATAAAAATATTGCCTAACACTACTCCATATGGACATATGAAATTTCATTACATTTTATACATGTAATTAAGTGGCCCACATAATGAAGCACTGTGTGTGCAAAGAGGCAGGATGCCTTTTGTAAGTGAAAGATAGCTGGAGTGGGAACAAGAATGGCATTTTATAGGGAGAAAAATCAGACAAGGTGGCCTGAAAATTATTGCACCTTATTCTCTAAACTACTTAAATTTGATGAGTTTCTCTCTGCCCCCACCCCTTGCTAGTTTTCTGTTCATATTGAAGACGTAGTATCTTCCTGCTAAAGTTCCCCTCCACCCTGTCTGCTAAAGGTAATGAATGGGGAAAGTTCTGTGTTTGGATTCAAGATAGGCCAGGTTTATATTCTAGATTGTCACTTACAGAATGACCTTTGGTAAGTGGCTAAGCCAGAGGTGCTTAAAATTAGTCCAACCACCAGCAGTAATCAGGGTTTGTTAGAAAATCAAGTTTGAGGATGCACTTCTTGAGTCTGGGAAGGGGGCCCAAGAATCTGTGTTGTAGCACACTTTCCAGGTGATTCCAGTGCTCTCTCAAGAAAGGACCCCAATTTCAAAACTCCAATTTCCTTTCCTTTTGTAAATGGGCCTTTTATGGCAGAAAACTCAATTTCAAGCAACTTAAAAGAACAAGAATTTAATGATTCACATAACCCAAAAGCAGAGGTAGCATTACCTTCTGGTGAGGCTTGATTTAACACCTCAAATGGTATTACCCATAATGCTTTATTCTCAGTTTTCAAAATCTGACCATAATTAGGGCTTCAAGGAGAAATTTAAATAAGATTTAAATAAGATTATTTAAATAATCCATGCATACCTGAATTGGGGTTAATATTCATATTTGTATGTTTGCTTAACAGCTAACCTGTGTTAAGCTTTGTGTGGTTGTTGAGGCCAGGTGAGCCCAGTGTGTCCTCCACAATCATTAGCTTGCTTATAGTTCCCCATCCTGCTGGGCTATGTCTTGGTTCTTCATTTTGAAATGTGCTCTTAAATTTTTGAAAGTGTTATTTGCCAGGACTGAAGGGGAATTCCCATTTATCATTCAGAAAGTACCTGGACATAGTATATTTTCTGTAGCTTTCCACTGCTCCCCTACCAGTGGTAATTTCAGGCCATTTGTACTCCTAAGGTCTCATCATGCACTCCTTCCTCTGCTTGGGGTCCATCACCTTGTTTTAGGTTTGCATTACCTGCCTTCTATCCTCAACAGTGAGCAACTTGAGGGTACAGCCTTTGTCTGGTCATTCAGACAGCTCTAGCACCTGGCACAGAGGGTCTGGCAGGATGTAGATGCTCAACAAATCTTATGGAGTGGAATGGACCTTTTTCAGAATTGTGTGTATGTGCATTGTAGGCTGATTCCAAACTTAACTCTGAGCAGGACACAAACTGTTGGCCTCCACACTGCCCTACAGTTTCCACTGGGCTTACAAAGACCAGTGAGTACTATACTTATGTGAGGAATCTCAGTGATTACCTAGAGTAGAGCAACGCTGACCAACAGAACTTTCAGTAATGATGTAAATATGTGGTCACATGTGAGAACTTGAAATGTGACCAGTGACGAGGAACTGAATGTTAGAGTTCATTTATTTTACTTAATTTAAAAATAACCACAGGACTAGTGGCTACCATATTGGACATTGCAAAATTCATAGATGACTTACAGTAATCTGGTGAAAATTGGGGTGGAAAGGTCAATTGACAAAAAGTAGCATATGTAAAAACATGTTTTAGAAACTTAAAACAAACAAACAAACAAAAAATAAGACCTCACTACAAATTCCAAAATGAACTCATTGCTGCCTGCTCCCAGATCTATCCTTACATTCCTTGGATAGTCAAAAGGTCAGCACCAGGTGAGACAATGCAGAGGCCAATAGCTTCTGGGAAGCTAGATTCTATTAATCAACCCAGAGATTTGCTCTGGGGCTGAATTGGAATACAAGAAATTCTGATAGGAGATACGCAGACTCCTAATCTCTCCTTTAAATATCTGTTCCTGCTTTCTATCAGTGAGACTTAAATGCTCGAGACATTTTTCCTGGATAATATTCTTCTTTTGATAGGCTCTGTGGATACTTAGAGACTCACAGAGGCAAATATTCAAAGAAGTGCCTGTGTGAGAGGGCTCCGAAGTCTCCTGTGGGTCGGTGCACAGGAAGCTCTCTAGTCTCTTGCTAGGACTCTCAGACAGGTGTGGGGAAACATAAGGGATGTCCTTTAGAAAAATCCATTCTCATCAAGGCCTCCCAGCCATCTCTGAAGAGGTATCTGGATGCCCCCATCCTCCATGGGAAGGGCATGAAGGAAAACCTGGAACTAATGTTGGCTTGGGTGGGGCAAGGAAATTAAAGGTGGGTAGAGCCAGGTCAGGGGCTAGGAGGCCCGCAGGAGGGAGTCAGGAACAGATGATGAGCATGTAGTAGCCAGGTGGTAGTGGTTAGAGTCCTGAGTGAACAATCAGAACAAGTATCAACGCTAATACACTTTGATTGAAGTAGCTTCTGAGGGAAGTAAAAAATAAAACATGGCAACAATGAATGTACACATCGACTGTAAGGAGCATACAAATAGTTGAATGTGCATATGTGAAGCATATCTCTTGGAGTGAAAGTTCTGTCAGTTTGGTGTCCCTATGAGTACTCCAGTGATCAGTCTAGCTAACATGCCTACATCAAACAGGTTAACATCTAGGTTCCACAGGAAGGGGTGCCTGACTATTGTGAGCTGTCTGCAAAGTTGTAAGGGGCAATTGCAGCATGGCTGGTTTATATTTACCATCTCTGTCCAGGAGAAATGTTTATAGAAGACTTTTATGACTTGGCACAGGATATGTAACAGGGCAGATTGTCTTGGTTATAAAAATAGTACCAGGGAACTTAATGACTGATAGACACTCTTATTGTAAGGGTAGGGAAGTCACCATCTGCAAACAAAATTGCACTCTTAGAAGGATGAATCCATGCTTGAAAAATCTCTTTCACTCAAAGTAAGTAGAAGGAGGAAATAATAAAGATAATACTGGAAATTAATGAAAAAGAAAATGGACAAACAGTAGAGGAAAATAAGTGAAACCAGAAGCTGGTTCTGTGAAAACATCAATAAAATTGATAAAACCCTAATGAGACTGGATGTGGAAAGAGAAGAGAATATAAAATTTATAAATATAAAGAACGAAAGAGAGAAAGGATAATAAATATTATGAAAAGTCTTAGACTTTTAGTTAAAAAACTTTAATGATGAAGAGGACAAATAGAAAAAAATTATCAAACTGACTCAAAAGCAGTAGAAAATACGAATAGGTTCATATATTTTAAATAAGTTGATTTAAATAAGTTGATTTCTACAAAGAACAGGTCAGGTTAAGAGGTCTCATTGGTGAATTCTCAAATATTTTTTAAAAATTAGTCCATTTTTAGCATTCAATATTACCCTGCTACTAAAACCACACAAAGCCTTTACAAAATTAAAATTAATAAAGAAGAAAAATTGTAGACCAATATCCTTTGTGGGTACAAATAGAAAAATTCTTAATATTAGCAAATAAAATCCAACAATGTGTGTAAAAGGAAATACATCATGTTTAAGTGAGGTTTATTCTAGGAATTCAAGGTTGGTTTAATATTTTAAAAGCAGATAGTACAATTCATATATTAATAGAACAAATGAGAAAAACCATGTGATCTTTTTTTTTAGTAGATGCAGAAGAAAATTCAATCTCATTTATGTGAAAGACTCTCATGAACCAGAAGGAAACATCATGAAAGTTCACTGAGAAAGTGAACTTTCTCAGCTAATGAAGGACTTCCATGCAAAACCTATAGTACCATCATACCTACCTGTAAACTATGGGGCTAAGATGGTCAGGGAAGAACATTCTGAGGAAGCACTAGTTCAATTGATATCTGAATGACAAAAGCGAGCCATCCAGGGACAGAGCTGAGGAGAATGCTCTCTCTGCAGCATAGTGGACTGAACATTTCCCCAGTATGGTGAACATTCCTCCCCAGTCCCAGGTGGTGAGTGGGTGGATGGAGTTAGCAGTCATGGGATCAGACTAGTGCCAAGGCACAGCCATAGCCTGGATGGGATGGAGGAGTGGTTTGCACCTCATGCTGCCTGAACTCCAAGGAGAGCTGTGCTTTATGAGTCTGGCCAGGAGTTCGGAGACCCTGTGAAGGAATAGTAAGACCTTACATTTTGATACACTTTGCAAATTTTGTAATACCACCACTTCCATGATTTACTTGACAGGACAGATTATTACACCTATTTTACAGCTGAGAAAAAGAGGTGACATGACTTGACTCATTCAAGGTCACAATGCTCATAAATCAGTCCAACCCAAGTTTATATAACTCTCAAGTCCCTGCTGTCAGCCAGTTGCCATGCTGCTTCTTGGTGATTAGAAAATGATTAGTTCTTTCCTTTGCAATGTGTTGATTGATCAGTCACTTAACTTGGAGATGTGGAAAGAAGAAGAATGTGTTTAGTGAGTCCTTTGGTCACTCCACAGTGACACATAGATGTGTGATATCCTCTGGTCTCTCTGGAGGCTGGGTTTTTTTGTCACAGCTACATTCACCAGCCACAGGACCAGCAAGTCTCAGAGCCTCAACATGCATATATCTAAAATGGGAATAGAAGTTCCATTTCTCTCTATTGGATGTTGTGCTAGGATGGTACATTTTTTAAATTGAAGAACTATTTATCATGTTTCCTATTAGCTCTGAACTGCAAATCCTGTGAAGGCAGACTGTCCTGCTGGAGGGGAGGTGCTCCATTGGGGCATTGCTCGAGGTCATGGCTTATTGGGTCCCCATGTCCTGGGTACCACCCAGTGCTGCCTTTCACACAGTGGGAGACCTGGGCTACAGATCTGTATGGGTTTTAATAATTTACCTAGGCTTGTTTCTCTGGCAGTAGGGTTGACTTCTTTATGGGTATTTCAAATGCAGAAATAACTATTATAACCACATGTTCTCAATTCAAAGAGATTTATTGTTTTCTGGGACAATGCTTCTTGTGACACCAGGGTAAATAAGGACTTCAGGTTCAGATTCTTTGGGCCCTTAGGGTTTCCCTTTCTTTCCTTCAGGGCAAGGCCCTTGGAGATGTCTACAGTGAGAACCAGATACCATCTCTCTGGTGGGGGGGGTGTGTGTGTGTGTGCAAAATATCCCAACTGGATTCTCCCTAACCTACACATGTAGCATCCAAAACTCCCTCCCAGACTTTATATCCTTTCAGTAGCTCCCCATTTATCTTAAGATAAGAATCCTAAACCTGAAGATGCCTTCACTGACTGCTCCAAGCTCATTTTTCCTATGTCCCCTTTTGCTTTCCATGCTCAGCTCAGAAGCAAGCATCTTCTCTCAGGATCTCCATGGCTTTGCATATGCTGTTCCCGCCTAATGCAGACCACATCATTCCTTTCTCAGGTAAGCCTTCCCTGCCCTTCTGTACACCTGCTGTTCACTCTCCTAGTACTAGGAATCTCTCCCTGATAACACTGATCCACATTGTAATTTTTAATTTGTTTTGTGATTCTTCCATTAGTGTCTTTCTCTTCTACTCAGCATATATTCTCTGGGGTCAGATATCATGTTTTTTTTTTTTTCCTTTTTTCCTACTCTGGTCTTCCTCACACTTAGGAAAGGCAAATAAATAAATTTAAAATTCCTAGTATTGGCAACTTCAGCTAGATTGTGTCAGATATATTTTTCTGCACAACTGAGTGGGTCTCACCACTCCCACATCAATCAGCCCAAGAATGCTAGGGAAATCTAGCCGGCAAGGGAGAAGGCCTGCAGCTGGCCCTTGGCAGGGCTTCAACAGAAGGAAAAGCTGGGATTGGCTGCCATTTTGCTGCCATGGAGGGAAATAGTTAACTTCTAGTGAAGCCCAAAGAGCAGAATATTTTAGGGCAGTGGTTAGGCCAGCTCTACTGTCCCTAGGAATCACCTGGAAACATTTAAAAATGCATATTCTAAAGCCATTCTCCAAAGGAGTCTAGATTTAGTTAAACTTAAGAAGTCATGTTTTAAAATCTCCCAGGTTGTTCTGATAGATCAGAGTTCAAAAGATTCTAGAGACAAAGCACCCTTCCTCACCTTGTTGTTGTTGTTTGAGACTCCACCCTATATCCCTTTGAGAACTATTTTGGGAAATGCCAGGTCCATCAGGAAGGGAAATGCAGGTCTATATGCTTGTGTGTGTCTGAGCACCAGAGTGTACTGTGTTTCAGATAGATGCCGATTTTTATTTTTAAAAATACTACATTAAAATATTATCTTGATCTGAGTGTTTTGGTGCCCCTTAAATTTTGCTGCCAGTGGGGGTACCTTACCTGCCTCCCCTGTAGGCAATGCCAGATAGAGTGCTTATGAAATACCTGCATAGTGTGAGTCGCAGAACAGGCCTTTGTAAGATGCTGCTCCCCAGGTCACTGCTGTCATTTCAGTGGGTGTTATGGTGCCTGCAGTAAATAGTCCCAGACAGGACTGCCGACTATGCCTTGGGGATCAAGTGGTGATGATATCTGAGCCGGGTTTTAAAGACAGAGTAGGAGTTTGTCAGGCAGAGAAGGTGAAGGGTCTCCCAGAATTTTTTTTTTTTTTTTTTTTTTGAGAAAGGCAAAGCAATCTCCATGGCTGGAGAAGGATGGGTGGCTGGGTAGAGAAGCCAGTGAGGGATGAGGCACTTCATGCACAAGTCTGGTCCAGGTGCATCTGAAAACCACAGTTAGGGTCTGAAGTTTTGTCTAGTGGGTGAGGGCCCAGCAGGCCAGAAGCATCTGAGCAAATGTCCACTATCCTCTGCAGAGTACAATTCCCTAGCCTCAATTTCCTAGACCATACAATGGAAACTGTGACCTCCTCTGGGAGAATTGAGATGCTGGACATGAAATTTGTAGCCTGCGAGGGTTACATATGCAGGTAAGTGTGTAATAAGATGACCTCATAATCTGATTATTTGGTCCCTCTGCCTTATGTTGGGGTAGCCTCTGTACTCAAGTTTGGATCAGATGGGGGGAGCCATTATACTGTACCTGAGAAAGTGACTTCACAATGGAGAGTAGAAGGAGACAGCCTCACAGCCTAGCAGAACACTGAGAAGCATGCTGTCCCTCTTGTCCCCAAGCATCCTCTTCACCCTACCCATGTGTAGTCACTGTCCCCAGCCTCAGCTCCCCAGCACCTCACCACCCTGGGCTCCATTACTGTGATCCTATTCTTGCTGCCCATACCTGCAGGTACAACTACACACACAGCATAACCTGGAGAGGAGGAGAGACCTTCCCGCTTTTGTTCTCAGAAAGGTGACAATGCAAGACACATCAGCAAGAGCTAAAGAAAAACATCCCAGTACAGTGAAAGTACTGACCTCCTCTGGCTGTGTACAGCCCTCAGAGTGTGACCACACACAGGTGTCACTCATGTTCGCTTGTGCTTTCACACCCCCAGTGATTGCACACGCAGATGAAGGACTGCTCAAACATGTGGGAACCCCATGAACAGCCCTCATTTGCTCAAAGTCATCTACATTGCCACCCACTGGAAGAGATGGTCAGATTCCACCCTGAGAAGCTGCAGGGATGAGGGTGAGAGGAGGGGAGAGCAGGAACGGAGGAGACCTTTGGTTTCTTAGGGAGTCCTTTAACTTTCTCAAGGTTTTGACACTATGTTGACTAGAGACCACCATGTTGCTCCTTCTTTCTTAATTATGGAAGAACTTCCTGGGACTACTTTTTCCAAGTGTTCTTCCCCTTCAGTCTCCTTCTCTGACTCCTGCACAACACAGCCGTTTCACAGTTAGAACTGTGGAACTACATTACATGCACATCACTCTAGAGTTTCTGAGCCTGAGCCTCACTGGATTCTCACAGAGGGATTGTCTGGTATGACCCACTATGAGGATGAGGAATCTGAGTCTCAGAGGGGTGAACTGCCCTTTCTCCTACTAGGACAGAGAGAACATCTGTTAATTTTGTTTGCCTAGCATCCTATCTACCCATATTCGGGTTATAGCCCTCCATCTTCCTTAGGGACATGCTCTGTTATTTATTAATTCCCTGATTCTTGCAGTCACATCTGTAAAATGGGAGCGATTTTTGTGATAATATCCAGAACCAGGCAGTGGGAAAACCAGAAAAATTTCAAAGGTGTGTGATTTAAGTATTTATTTTAGGTTCAGTTAGAGACAGTAGTTTAAGAGATGAGGTTAGGGTTTCCACTAGGCAAGGAGGCTCCTGGCTGGTGGTGGGAGGGGCTGTGGCCCAGGCCCCTCTGGCATGACTCAGAGAGTTTTGGGAGAGGGAGGTCTCACACTTCTGTGTGGGGGCCCTTGATTAGCAGAAGAATAACTTCTCTTTGCTGGGGACTTGAATCAGCATCACATTTCTGGTTGGTTGTAATGATGTAACATTGATTCTTAAAGACTGGGGCCCTGACAGTATCTGATTGACTCCACCTGAGGCTTGTTGATTGTGAGGATTAGGTAAGGAATGCATGGAAAAGGTAGGATAATTCTGGGCACATAGTAGGTGGTTTATATACATATTTAAAAAAAAAAAAAAAAGGTACTTAAGCCCTGATTTTAATTCTCCGGCACAGGGACAATGAGTTCCATCTTTGTCTCAGGCTCCCTATTCTCAGGCCAGCATGGCTAGTTTGGCCTTGCCCCCCACCATGAGGAGACCTCTTGATTTTCTGAACAGGAGATACTGAGCCCAGGGGCCGACAGCGATCTTGCTTCCCTCCCAAAGGTGGCTGGTTTGGCTGCCGAATTCCCTGAAAATTGGTTCCGCATGTTGCCAACATCAGGCTCGAACGTTTGCTCAGCACACAGCCATGAGGGCCCTCCAGGGAAGCTGAAACCCCACACCACCCGCCATCCGCCCCCAGCCGCAGGCTGCCAAGCCGCTGCCCGCAGCCAGCTCCCGGGGCCAAGTGGTGGGAGAGCAGGACCAAAGCACAGGGCTTGGGCCCACCCGGCCACCCGGGCCCCCCAGGAGGCAGCCCTGACGCCACCTGGTGGCTTCCCAAGGAACTGCACTAGTATGGCAGCCCAGTATTGCCCTGGCCTGGGGACTCTGAGCTGCTTGTTGTAGGGCGAAATCCGCGAAAGATGCTCCTGCTCCCATTCCAGGAACTCCCAGGGCAAGGAAATGTGGTTCCCAAGCCTGAGCTATTTTTAAATGACAGCATCCGCCATGCAGATGCTCTGTTTATGGCTGATGTTCTGAGCCAGTGAGAGAAGCTGTGCATTTAACCAGAGGCAGATGCCAGAGTGGGAGTAATTAGAGTAGGCTGGGCCTGTCTATTCCGGGGCCTGAGCCACCAGCCAGGCAGAGCGCCCGCGGGCCACTCTTGAGGCTGAGGTTTCCAAGAGGCAAAGAGACTGGACCCTGGCTGGTCTTTGAGGGCTATGGTGTTCAAGCTCCTGTGGTGTGACTCAAGGAGGATAAGGAGGAAGAAAGGAGGCTCTTGTTATCATCCTCTTCATGATTATCCTCATTACTGTCAGCAACCTTTGCAGACCAAAAAGCTTTGTGGTCTGTAAACAATAGGCATAATAAATGTTAGCCATATATTTTTCAGTTTTACCAATGAGGTTGAAGATATTCATCCAAGGTTACCAGATGGTGAGGTCTTCAGAGTTTTGAGACCTTTCCAGTGGGTCTGGACTCTGGTCCAAAAACCCACTTTCCATGTTCAGAGTTGGTCTCAGGCAAAGCCTTTCAAAGGCTATTTATCCTTGGAAGTAAAAGCTGCCTTGACAACTTTTCCTCTACCCTGTGCTCTCAGACAGCTCAGAGTTGGGTCAGCCCTGTGCCACCTCTAAGAACTTTCCCATGAGTTCTTTTTCTGGGTTCTTTATATTTTTTCCACCACTTCAGTGGTTCCTGATCTCAAAAATCTTGGAATCTGATTCCAAGTCTGATGACAACTTAAGTCATCTTTGTCTCCCAATTTCTGTCACTTGGTCTATGACCTGGCTCAGAAAAATTCCTTGCTATAGTTGAATGAGTGAGTCTGTGAGCACCTCCCAGCTGCTTAGCCCTGTACTAAGTAGAGCAGATTCAAAGGAAGGAAAGGCTCTATGAATTCTCCAAGACTTTAAGGTCTCCTTTAGTAAAGATGGTCTAAAATAAGATAAGGCCATATGAAGGACCTGCCAACCAGGTCTGTGAGACCAGGGGAGGTTTGGCAGTGATGGAGTTCCAGCAGGAGGAGGACCAGAAAGGTGGTGATGAGGGAGGAAGTTTTGAGAAATGAGTACCATTTGACAGGGGTAACGAGGGGGGAGATACTGCAGCTGGGCCAGGAACACAGCAGTAATCTCCACCATGAAAGACCACCAGAACAAAATGTGTTCTGCACTGCAGAGGGCTCAGCCTCCAGCCATCTGAAAGTGGGGGTTAAGTTGGGCATCAAATGAGGTCATCTTTGAGGAGGACTGATAGGAAGTTTCCTGCCCCACTCTCTGGCTTGACAACTGATGCCTTGGTTTTTCTGATTAGCCTTTAGTTCCTTGAGGAGACAAGCCCTGACCTTACCTGCCAGCAACTGATTTAGTCCAAAGATAGAGCCAATCCCCTGCTGTCTCTCCAGTGAGCCCAAGCCTGGCATTGGGTGCTCTATACACTATCCATCACCCCAATGCCAAGAGCTCCCAATGCCTGTTCCTCAGCCAAACTGGGGAATAGTTATAGTTCAGATCAGCCCCCATCTCTACCCTATTCAGATTTTCCCTCTTCCTTTAGTCCTATGGATCTCATGTCCCAACTTGCTTTGTGTCTGAAAGTGGGAGCCAAACTTTGAGAGACCTTGAACAATGAATCAGAGTGTGGACATTGTATAGGGGCTGGTTACAAAGCCCTGTGGGCTCCTATGGGTGCACTGTGAGAAGCAGCTGAAGGCCAGTGCAGAAGCCCTGGGATGGTTAAGGAAGGATCAGGGATCTGAGCAGAAAGAAGGGTGCACATGTTTCAAAGGCAGAACCCACCAGGCAAGATTAAGAGGTATATCCAAGGGAACATCAGACCCATGTCCTTCACTGTACAGATGATGACACTTTAGACCAGAGAGAGGACAGTAGCCTAGTGTTGCATAGCGCATGTGCTATGCCATTCCTCAAAGTTGGTGCAAAGTTTCAAGCCTCTCAAGAAGCTCTCTCAGGCTCCTCAGTTCTCTCCAGGAGGCATCCTAGCTTGGGGGCAAAGGCTGCCCTTCAGATTGAGGCATTTCTGAGTTTCTGTTCCAGCATCCCAATCACTGGCTGTGTAACCCTGAGCAGCTTACTTAGCCTCTCTGAGCCCAAGTATGTTTGCCTTCAGATCACTGTTATTAGTATTTAATGAGGTAATAGCCATTGAAGAGCCCAGTGCAGCACCTGGCACCTCCTGGTACCTCTCTGAAGCATTTTAACTTCTGGAGAATCCAGGGCTCATTAGAAAGACACAATAGCTAGCTGAATGGGCCAGCGGCCAGAAGATGGTTCAAACAAGCTCTGGACCATAGACTGGAGGAACCCCTGCAGTGGGCTGCACCAGGCTCCAGGACCAAAAAGCTGCTCTTAACAGTCTCCTGCAGCCTCTGCAACACCAGTCTCTGCCAGGAAAAGCTGCATGGCCTTTGAACTGCTCCATCCTGGACTCCTTGCTGGGCTAGAGCTTGGAGGCAAATATTTGGGCAGCCAGCAGTGATTGGGGCTCTGTCTGCCCTGTGGGGCAGCATATGCTAAGATACCCAGCTGGGAGGCAAGCTCCCCAAGCCTGCGTAGGCGGTGGGCGGGCTCAGAGTCTGCAGATCCCAGGCGCCTCCTGCGGAAGCCCCTGGCTGAGGATGGAAAATGCCACTCTGGGCCTGCACAATCTATCCTGTTGTAATCCCCAGAGCTGGCGTCACCAGGGCCTGTCCGAAAAGTGTGTCGTGCAGCGTCTGAATTCATACTTGTGTGTCTGCCATGGGAGCAGGGGGGAACAGGGGGGAGCAGCGGAGGCTGTAGAGGCCCATAAAAAAACAACCGAAAACGTTTCATTTGCAGCCTTACTTTTTTGTTACAGACCACTTGGCTGCCCGTGCCAGCTGGGAGCTGGGGCCCGGCAACAACGCAGAGTTATGGGGCAGCGCTAAGTGCTCTGTTTGTATGAAACTGCCAAAATGTTAGTACAAAGTGGTAGGTGTTTGTGCTGCAGATAATAACTGATGGGCTCCCGGGCGGGGAGGCGGATGCCTTGTTATTATGGCCGCGGCTCTTCTGAGAAGCGCTGCAGCCGCCTCGAGAGCAGCAGCAATATTTTTCTGAGCACACAAGGCCGGGCTGGCAGTTAATGGGCACGCCTGGGCCTCATGAATCAGCCCCTAGAGGGGCGGAGGCCGGACTGCTGGTGTTTATCTGATTCTTGGGGTTTGTCTTCTCTGGCCAAAAAAGCCCATTCCTTAGAAGGTTCCAGAACCCACTATGTTGTGGAAGCAGTAGAAGCCAGTTGAAAAATGCCAAGTGACTGGGTGTACCGTTTTTAGGAACCCAAAAAAACTGTCACATAGAGGGGCTGGTGCCCAGAGCAGGGAGCTGGAAGCCGGGATGAAGATTCAGAAGGGTGGTTTAGACTTTGCTGGAAGAGAATGTTCCCGAAGTATGGGGATTTCAGGAAGGGAGATGGACTTGGGGGACAAAAAAGAAAACTCCCTCTCCCCTTGAGCTATATCCCTCCTGCTGTGTTACTTTCCAGTTTCTAAGGAGAGAATGAGCCAACCTACAGTAGGGGAAAGATTTTAAGACTAAGCAATCTCACCCCCTGCACACGCACATATGCACATACAACTTTCTTTAACCTGTCCCTAGAGGAGGGGATGAATTAAGACTTTTGTATAATCTTCTCAGCAATAATTGGTTCATTCATTCATTTTTCATTAAATCTACCAGGTACCCTTTGTGTAATTTTCTAGACATTGATTGGTAAATAGGTCCATTCATTAAATATTACTGGATGCCCAATCATTGCCATGTTTTTATCTGAACATTAAGGATACATTAGTGAATAAAACCAGAACAACAATAACAAAATCCCTGCCCTCATTAAGCCTACATTCTAGTGCACAGAGACAGACAACACAAGGATATATAACATATCAGGGGATGACATGTTAAGAGGGAAAATAAGGTGGGGTAAAGAGACAGCCCCCCATGGAAGGGGGAGCAGGAGAGATGGAGAGATGCTGGGTCAGAGCAGAGACCAAAACATCTAAACTCCCTGCAGTGTACAGAGTTGACTGTCCAGATGGGGGAAGAAGTAAGGAAGACCATCGTTGCCCAGAGCTTGCTTGCTATAGGTTCAGTGCTAGAGAAGCCTCTGGGCACTTTACATGCTGTGTTAATACCACAGTGTGCAGCTGAGTGGGGGTGCTCATTATAAGGGCGTTTGGACAGAGGAGGGAATCTGGGCATGGAGGCTTGGAGAGGCTGCTGGCAGAAATGGCAGGCTGGGATTTGCACTCAGGCCCACCAGATGTAAAGCCCCTGCTCTCCCACCCTCTGAGTGTAGTGGTTTAACTTGCTAGATTTGCAGTAGCTTTGGAGTCAAGGCAGACTGGGCTTTGAATCCTGCTACCCACCTGCTATAGGTTGTGTGATTTACAATGAGTTACTTAATTTCTTTTAGTTTCTGCTACCTCATTCCCCATAGGATTTCTGTGAACAATAAATACATTTCTGTCTATGAAATATACATAAAGCCCTTATCATGACAACTGGCACAAAGTGACTCCAATAAATGGCAAAACTAATATTGGCATTCTAACTTTCTTTTATGTGCAAGGGCCATGATAGAAGTATGATCACTTGCCCTCTCCACATGGTACCAGAGGCCAAGTTTAGCCCTGTCACTAAGCATTTGGTCTGTCACAGAGCTCCTAAGCTCTCTATGAGGGATGTCTACATTCCTGGCTGTGATACCTGGACACAAACTTTGCCAGCCCTGGTATCTTCAAACCTGAGTCTGCCAATATAATGAGGACATAGCTTCTCACCGAGGGCAGGGCACCCCTTGAGGTTTGTGCCCTGTCCTAATTACTTCCTTTTATAGATGGGGAAGTGTAAGGTGCCAAAGACTAGTGAACTGTCTAGATATTCATTTCTGCCTGGAGAAGGTGAAGGGTGGGTGGCTGAAGCTGGAGCCTCCCAAGACTGGGCAGTTCTGCTGGGGGCTATGCTCTAGCTATTAGGAAACCTCCTTCATGGATTCTCAGGTTGCTCATTTCTGAGCAGAAGGTGGATGTTCTTGATTGTTCTCCCAAGTTGTTCTAGATGGGAATGGTGTTTATTTGCTGACTTTTCTGACTTAGTAACTCCAAAATAGAGACTCCAGTAAGTCATGGCTAGTTCAAAATGTCTGCTAAAACAGAATACTGTTAGAAAGTCCACTTTCAATTGAAAAGTCTCTCACTCTCCTTAAGTGTGGAAGGAGAGGAATGATATGGAAGAGATTGAAATGTGACTTCTTCCATATCTTTTCCCTCTTTTGATATTAGTAAAAATTTTAACTGGCTATAGAGCTGCTCAGATAACAGCGATATGTGGCAGCCTCCACTGTAACTAGGTGTGGTCACAGGACTGAATTCTGCCCAGTGGGACTGAATGGAAGACATGTGAACAATTTCTGAATTATGTCATTAAGGGAGAGGATGAGCATTTGTTCCTCCTGCCTGCTTTCCAGAATGCAGAAGTGGTGGCAGCATTTAAACCATATGAAAAATATGACACCCAAGAGATGACACAGCAAGAGATGGAAGACTCCTGGGCCACCAACTTTACAGAGCCATGACACCAAACCTGGGCTGCCCGCTCCAACTCTACCTCATTTGAGCTACTGTTGTTTTCAGATTTTGAGATGGCTGTTGAATCTCTATCCTGCTTAGCACAGGTAAGATCTGAGGATCTTTTGACGAAAGAACTGATGCTCAAAAGAGACTGCTAAGTCAGAGAACAGACCAACTGCTGGAATGAATAGTAGTAATGCTGCCAACTTCCCTCTCACCAACACATCCATCCATGTCGCCTCACACAAAAGCCTCAGGGTGTACATTATACATGAATCTCAGATCATATGGTAAGAGACTGAGCCAAAACCAGACCTCAGAGTTTGTGTGATTCCTAATCCAGTCTTCTTTCCCCTGTGGAGCCTCCTGTCCATCTAAAATATGTGAAATTCTGTGTGTGTGGGGGGGTTGTGGATGGGTATAGTATAGTGTAGGGAGGGGAGGGGAGGGGAGAGGAGCTGTAATCCTGCTCCAGTCCTCAAATGAAGACATCAAAGACATCAAACTGGTTGAAGCTCCTTCCAATGTCAGCTGGAGGAATCACACTTGCTAAACCTAGCTGGTTGCCCTTTGCCCTCTTATTGGAGGCTCTGCCCTCTGGGGTTTCTTAGGACAAGGCTGCCCCAGATCCCTGGAGACACCTTCAGGAGCTTTCCAACAGGGGATGCGTGGCAGTGACTAGGATCTCTAGAGATGTGTAGGTGGTCAGAGTAATTAAAGAGGCCAGTTCTGGCTCCTTTATCTGCAAAATGGTGGTAATACCATGGACCTCTATGGAATTCTAAGAGAATTAAAGAAATGAGGTGTGTCGTGTGCTCTATAAAGTATGAAGGGCTGTCCAGTGCTCATTAAGTTAGTTAATAAGACCAGAAAATAAAAAGCTTGCCTGGTTTGTCCTAGACTCAGAAAAGATGGAAATAATTAATGTGTAATGACAAAGGGTGTGGTCCCTGCCAAGAGTCCTGGCTGCTCTACATGTTTGGGCAGCATCCAAGGTGGGTAGGATGGGAGGTGGAAACTTGGGCCTTCAGCTTACTCTGTGACCTTGAATGAATCATATAGCTCCCTTTGCATTTTCTCATTTGCAAGAATCAACAGACATAGTGGATCCACTCTGAGGTGATCATTTTAAAATATCTTTTCAAGTACTTAATTCTGTTTATATATTTTCTAAATTGTTGGATTAGCATTTTTCCTATTCCTGTTTACGATGTTTGCTTCTCTTTTCTTGAGTGAGACTGGCTAGCAATTTTCTTTTTCTTTTTCCTACCGTTCTTTTGTGGTTTCCGTAATACTACATAGAATGAGTTAGGGAGTGTGGCAAATTGCTAGTTGATCATCTAGCTCTGTTCTCTCCATTTTCTTGGACATGACTATATAGCCAAAGACTATATTTTCAGCTTCCATGAACTGAATGTGGCCCATCTGTGTGATTAAATTATCACCAATGGAATGTGAATTTAAAATAAAATACTTGCCCTGGACTTTTACTTTCGGTTTCTGCAAGATGGCAAACATATGTGTCCATGACCAAGTTTCAACCATGCAGATGAGGTCAATGTCCTAAAGATGGATGGAGGCTCCCAAATAACTTGAGAAGCAGGTCTGCCTACTCAGCCTTTGGGTGGCAGTGGTGGTGATTTTAGTTATCGTTTTGTCACTGATTTTAAATTTTAATTATACATAGTCAGGAACATGGTTGAAATTGGTCCTAAACTACTATTTGGTCCAATATATGATCTACTTTTAAATGTTCTAGGTGTGCTTGAAAGATGCACATCAACAGATTACTGGGTATAGAGTATTAACTATGCTAGTTGATTATTGTGTGCAAATTTCTTTATCTTAAATTCTTGTTTGCTTGATCCATCAATAATCAGCTTTATTGAGCCCTTTCACTGTGAAGTTAATTTTTGATTTCCACCTGTGCTTCTAACATCTTTAAACATCTTTAAATTTGTTAGTTAAATGTAAGTTACTAGCCTTTGTAATTTCCTAGAGATTGAACCGTGTTTGTAATGTAAAGCCTCTAATGTTTTTAAAATATATTTTTGTATCAATATAGCCACTCCAGATTTATTTAGTTGATTTTGACTTGGAATGTTTTTTTCTATCATTTACTTTGAAACTTTTTTGTGTCCTTAAGTTTTAAATCTATCTATTTTTTAACATTGTGCAGTCTGTTTGTTTTTAAATCCAGTTTGGCAAATTCTGTATATTAATTGGTGACTTTAATCCTTTTATATTTATTGTGATTATTGAAATATTTATATTTATTTATTACAGTTTACTCCACACTTTGTCTTTGTCTTTTCCTTTCTGCACTATTTCTTTCTCTGTGTTTTTTTTTAATTGCTTTTTATGGTCTACATTTTTTTTCCACCTCCACATTTTTGTAAGTTACAATTTAATTTATATCCTTGTACCTGTTGCATATGATTTTTATCTTGTGCACTTAACATGGTTGGACAACATATAAATGTTTCTCATCAGTACAAGAAGCAATGGGAGACTATTTGAATACAGAGTGATACAGTTGCTCTTCCCTTAACTCTGTGGTGTTGTCTTTGAATGTTTTCGGTCTGTGCTCTTTACCCTCATGTATTACATATTCTTGTATTGAAGTTGTTATTATTATATAGTCTATAGAGAAAAATGTCTGGTTTATATTTACCTATATGTTTACCAATTTCTTTATGTTTTATTGTGCTTCTTTTGAGATCATCTTTCTTTCTGTTCATAATTCAGAAATTCTTTTAGGGAATATCAGCCTGACTGTAAACTCAGCTTTTTACTTCTTAAATGTCTTAATTTTGCCCTCATCTTTGAAAGTTAGCTTTTTGGCTAGTTATTTTTTCTTGGCATGTTAACAATTTTATTGTACCTTATTCTGATTTTCATTACTGTTGAGAACATTTTTGTCTAATCGCTATTCCCTTGAGAGGATGACCTGCTTTTTCTTTCTGTTTTTAAGATCTCTTTGTCTTTTTTTTTCAAACTCACTATGGTAATTACAGGTCCAGATTTACTTACCTAATCTTGGTGGGCCCATTTGTGTTTCTTTACCTGTAGAGTCATTACTTTTCACCAGTTCTGGAAATGTTCTCAGCCATTATTTCTTTACTAGTTGTCTTTCAATTCCTATATCCCCCTTTTTTCATCTTTCATATCACTTAACTGTTCATATTTTTCATCCCCTGTATGAACTCCATTCTCATAAATCTCCTCAGCTCTCTTCCACATCACCAATTCTCTATTTGGTTGTGTCTAACCTGCTGTTTCACACTTGTACCAGACTTTTAACTCAAACAATTTTCTCTTTTTCATTTCTAAAAGTTCTGTGTTACTCATTTTTCATATCTGACTTGCCTTTTTTTTTCATGTTAGGAATTAAACATAGAGTCTCATGCTAATTAGGTACACGGTCCAACCACAAGCTATATCCCAACCCTACCTGGCCTTTTTTGATAGTCTGTGTTTGTTTTTGCACATTTTTAGCTCCATAATTTAGTTATTTTTTTATTTAATACAGGATTGTTTTATAATCTGTATATTAAAATTTCAGTATTTGAAACTTTTGGAGGTCTGAATCTTTTTGTTATTATGTTGACTTTCATTCATTTTGTATGTATTTGGCAATTTCTATTGTCAGCTCATTTTGAATTAACTTTATCTGAAGATCTTGTCAGATCTAAATTGGGAGGTGGTCTTTTTTCAGAGAAGATTGATATATACTTCTGCTGAGAGCCATGGAACGCCAGTGATCTGGACTCACTTTAGTCCCCTTCAAAGGCCCTCCTTGATTAAAGTTGGAGTCTTAGATCTCTGACCTTGCCTTCTACACTGGGCTTAATCACCTTATCACAGCTTTGACATTTGCCCTCAAGGAAACTCTGCCTTTTACATATGACTGCCAGTTTTCTGATCTTTTTATGGCTGTGTTTGGCTGTGGAAATTTCCTTTACTTCCTAGGGAGTCCAGCAGTGCATTAAGAATTCTGCTTGTTGAGATTAGTGCAGGATCCAGTGGCAGGGCACCTTATAGTTTACTGGGGCCTAATTTCCAGGGAGAGAAGCAGTACACACATTCTGTACTCTGACCAAGTCCCTTTGATAGGCTTGGTTGGGACAGATCTGCCAAGGCATTGGGAACTGTGTGGGCTGGAGATGGGACAGTGTCCTGGGTGCTGAGGTACTTTAGGTGTGGATCTTACCAGAGTGGACAGAGTCACTTCCTGGGTGAGGTCAACGTTGAGGGAAGGGTAGATGGCAGGCCTAAAGGAACTTGGGGGGGCCACTAAAGGAAGGGGGCTTGTATTCCTGGAACTGGGCCAAGATGGGGACTTTGAGGCGGTGGTTCTCCTTGAGGATCAGCTTGACGCACTGTGCTGAGGTGAGAAAGTTGGTTTGAAGTGGCAGGGACCAGACAAACAAATATGCTTTCAGGAATACAGAAGAGAACAACAGAGCACCGTTCATTTGGCATTTGATTAACCTGTGTGCATCCCCAGTCAGTGTAATGAGATAAGAGAATACAGTCAGTGGGGAAATGTCATACTAGACTTTTGTTCCTATGCTACTCTGTACTATCTGTTCTCTGTGCCTGTGTTGACCTTAATGCCATTTCTACCTGTTGGGTGCTTAGATAGCCTTCCAGGTCCAGTTCAGTGACAACTTCCCAGAGAACATTTCTCTGACTGTCCCAAGAGCTGGTGGCTTTCTTCCTGTGACTTAACAGCATTTGCCACATCCTTCTCTCATGCTGCTTATCATAACGGCTGCTGGTACTTCCTGTTCCTCCTGGGCAGAGACTAGTCTTGTTGATTTCTGTGTCTAAGACAGGTCATGTGGGCTGGAGTTAAGAGTGTAAACACTGGAACCAGAGGCCAACCCTCTGTTCAAATGCTGGGTCGGATCATCTTAGCATAATCACAATCTGTTTCCTCATCTGAAAATTGGACGTAAAATAGCATTCCTCAAGACACTGCGGTGTGTAAACGTGACTATATTTGGCAAAAAAAAAAAAAAAAAAAAAAAGGTCTTGTAGATGATAGTAAGTTTAAATTGAGATCATCTTGGATTAGGATAGGGTCTAACTCTATCAG